CACGTCACTGTACCAGCATGTGAATATTCCATGCTTTGTGTTTTAAGTTTGTGTTTGCTGGACATTAATTATAACTGGACCATACTGGGTTTGTTGTTGGAACAACACAACAGTCATCATAGATGCCATGCAGGGGTTTTGCCAGAAAAACATAATAGACGGCCTATTTTGTTTTTCCAAAATGGAAGCCAGTGGGCGTGGCAATGAGCCGATGGCGGGCCACGCCGATCGTTAGTAATCCCCACCGATTATTGGTACGAAAACGTACATTCAATCAATAAATGTTGTTTTTATCAAACGTAAATATGATTTACCTTTAGTTTAATGTAACATTCGATAGATTTGAAGAATACATAAAGAATTTGCTAAAGGTAGACCAGGCCCAATTAGGCTAGGCCGAGCTGATTAGGCCAAGCCGTCACGGTAAAAGTTGCCGTACTAAACAATTGTAGGCAGTCCAAAAGACGGCCGGACGGCTCGCTCGCTAATATACGCATGCACTATCTCACCACTATATTTCCAGTAATAAATTTATCTATGCTGTCCTACCTATGAAATAGCGTGAAATATTTGTTTTATTTAGTTTATCTTTAAAATTTTATTTCGTGAAATATTGCACACAGGTAAGAAGTGAACATGCCACAGTTTTAAACTGATGGGCGCAGCCATGTTTGTTGTCTTGTCTCGAAATCTTGTCTCCGGTCACCACAGAGCGGTTCCTCCTTGTTTCTCTTTCGCGCTGTGGATGTCTACTTCCAAAGTGATGGAAATATACCAATTTGGCTTTTCTGCACAAAGCATGAGACGTAAGCATCAGATAGGAGTTTAGTTTGCTAATATAACCCTAATCCCGAGTAAATCTTAATGCTTTGCATCGGCTGTACCGTGTATACAAATACACTCTTTTATACTGCTACTGTACTATAAAACTAGGCCTTTTCTAGGTAGAAGCAAGGACTACTGTAGGCTAGCCTAGGCCTAGACGCGACGATGATGGAATGGAAATGCAGGGATAAGCCCTGTCGGCTGGTGTTCGGATGGATAATAAACAAGCCTAGGCCTATATAAATTGCCTTCGGGAGATGGAGTTTTTGAGTGTTTTGTAAAAAAAAAAAAAAAAAAAAAAAAAGGGGGGGGGTTTTTC